GGCGGCTCCCGGGCGGCGGTCACGACGCGGCCGTGTCGCCTCCGGCGGCCGGCGGCTGGCGGCCCGGGTGGTGGGAGACGGTCGTCGGCGCCGGCCGGCCCCGGTTTATTTATGCAGTGTGAGCGCGGCGCCGCCGACCCGTGCCCTCCCCGTCGTGTGACCGGCGCCGCCCACTAATTGGCCGTCTGACGTCAGAGTCGGCCTGCTGTGGCGGCTGCGGTGAGCGGCCGGGGGCGGAGGGGGGGGGGGGGGGGGGTGCGTCTGGGCGCCCGCTCCTGTCCGGCCGGCCACGGGTCTCCGGCCGCGCCGGCCGAGTCGGCACTCGGGGTCGGACCCCGGCCGACGACAATGGCGTGGAGCGGCCCGTCCGCTGGCGCGTTTGTCAGCCGGGTGGCGGGAAGCACCAGCGTCCCTCGCGGTCCCGCCCCGGCGAGCACGTGCGTACTCCGCCGGCCGGCCTCGGTCTAGCGCGGACGGGGCCGCGACGCGTCACGACGTGCGTGACGGAACTCCGCGTCACGTGCACAGCGCGCGTGGCGTGACGGTCGGCAGGCGCGGTCCGAGGTGACGTGTCACGGAGGCACGGCGACCGGGGGCGGCAGCTTAGAATGAGGGTTGAGGTGAACGCCTCCACCACCTTTCATAGAACTGAATGTCAGCTCTCTGGCGTAGCATGGAACGAAGCGAAGTAAAAGGATGACTGTTCGTTCCTTCCTTTCAATTGCCCAAAGGCTTCGTCACTACTGATCACGACGTACAGAGGAGCGTGTGTGACGGCAGCGGCAGGACTGTGACATTGCAGCTGATATCCGCCGACGCGCTGTGCACAGTGACGTCACGTGTGACGGCAGCGGCGTGACTGTGACACTCCAGCTCCTGTCCACCGACGCGCTGTGCACGGTGACGTCACGTGTGACGGCAGCGGCGTGACTGTGGCACTGCAGCCCATGTCCGCCGACGCGCCGTGCAGTGACGTCACGTGTGACGGCAGCGGCGTGACTGTGACACTCTAGCTCCTGTCCGCCGACGTGCCGTGCTCAGTGACGTCACGTGTGACGGCAGCGGTGACTGTGACACTCCAGCTCCCGTCTACCGACGTGCCGTGCACAGTGACGTCACGTGTGACGGCAGCGGCGTGACCGGCACTCCTGCTCCTGTCCACCGACGCGCCGTGCACAGTGACGTCACGTGTGACGGCAGCGGCGTGACTGTGACACTCTAGCTCCTGTCCACCGACGTGCCGTGCACAGTGACGTCACGTGTGACGGCAGCGGCGTGACTGTGACACTCCAGCTCCTGTCCGCCGACGTGCCGTGCAGTGACATCACGCGTCTCGTCTCTTTCAGGATGACTACATGGACGACAAGAACTGTGACGGCAACGACGCCGAGGGCGTCTGGAGCCAGGATATCGAGCAGTCGTTCCACGAGGCGCTGGCTATCTACCCGCCATGCGGCCGCCGCAAGATCATCCTCAGCGATGAGGGCAAGATGTACGGTGAGTGCGGTCAGAGGCAGGTGCCGGAGCCGCCGTCACGGCCGAACTCCGCGGGGTGAGTGGGGCGGGCCGAGAGGGGGACCGAGAGATCGCGTGAACAGTGTGGCGGATGTCGGTGGTCTCTCGAGCCTGAGTTCGGTTCTCATCGTCATCGTCGCCGTCGGGGCTTTACGGCGCACTCAGCTGCTCAGGCTACGCGCCATCGCCTGCTTCTCACCCTGACGGGAAGGGTGGACACCGCGAGAAATCGAACCCCGTACCTCTGGTTTCCCACACGTGTAGCGGTTAACGCAGACGCGTTAACTACTGCGCGATCGGCACCGAGTTCGGTTCTCTGTTGACTGAGGCGCCCTCTGTCGCCGGACGTTGGCTGTGGTCGCCGCAGTCTGGCTGCCAGGATTGACCCCAGTCGTCCGCCGTCGGACCCTGCTGCGCCCCTGGCAGGTGCCCGTCGGCCTCGACGGGCCGCCGGTGTCCAAGGTCGCGGCGCGTCGGCGCTGACGGCCGTCCGGCGAGCGGCCGGCTGGCACGGCGGCCGGCGTCGGCTGCCAAGCGCGCCCGCCGTGCGGACTGGCGGGGCGAACGGCGCTCCTGGCCCGCGCGGCGCGGCGCGGCCGGGACGCACGCTCTGGACGGCGCCGGCTCGGGCTGTGGCGCCACCGAGCGCTGACATCATGTCAGCGCTGACGTCACCGGACCGGCGGCGGCCCTTTCCTCGTCGGCGGTCGCTGGCGGCGGGCGGTGCGGTCGGCCCGACTGACGGTCGGACCCGGACGCACCTGGGCCGTCGGCCGGCCGACCGGCCGAGCCGGGCGGGGCCAGAGCGCACGTGACGCCGCGGACCCGGCTGCCGGCTCGTGTTGCTGGCGCCGGATCAGGCTCGGTCTGCACGGCCGCCGCGGACCCAGGTCATACGACCCTGCCCCGCGGCGCGTTCCCAGGGCGGTGGTGGCGGACGTCCGGACGGAGCGCCGCCAGCGGAGAGCCGGGTCAGACGGGCGCATGGCGCGGGTGCGCGCGGCCGGCGCGCGCGGCACCGCTGCCGCGCTCGTCCCCCTCCGCCGCCGTGCGTCACTCCCCCGTCGGCCGGACGCCGCTGTCGGCCACGTGATGCACGGCCGCGGCCGGGCGGCGACAGCGGCGCGCCGGGCACGCGACGAATGTGCGGTACGCCGCCCGGCATGCTGAGCACGCTGCACCGGGCGGCGGCGCGGCGCGGCGCGCCAGCCTCTGCCGGTCGGCCGCCGGCCCTCTCTCCGTCGCTGCGTCACGCGCCACGTTCGCCGGCGCCGGCGCCAGGGGGGTGGGCAGACGGCCGCTCTTTGGGGCGCGCGCGGTGGGAGGGGAGGCGCTGCTCGCGTCGGTGTCGGTGTGTGTGTGTCGACCGACCGGCCGGCCCGCATCGAGCGTCGCTGAGGCACCCCGCCGGCGGTCCCCCAGCGCGGGGCGCGTTTTAATTAAGAGCGCCGGCCGGGGCGGCGGGCGGCCAGCTGCCGTCCGGGACCGGGAGATCAGAGGGGAGGCGGATGGCGGCCGTGACTGCGGGCTCACGCACGGACCGGTCCGGGCCGCCGCCGCCGGCGACCGCCCGCCCGGCCCTGGGAACCGGCCGCCGATCCGGCGACAGGCGGCCGTGACAGGGCGGACGTGATGACCACCTCGCTCTGTGAGCGGGCCGACGGTAATGCTTCGGACGGTCGGCGGCATGCCGCTGTCCCGGCGGGTATTTTTGGCATGCACGGTGTCCTCCCCCAAAGCGGTGGCCGTTGCCAAGCTGACGTCATCGTTAGCCTGCTGGGTTTACTGCGTCGTTGGTGTGGGAGGGGAGGGCTGGGGGAGGTGTGGAGGGAGGGCTGCACGCTGCGGTTTTCTCGGCTGTTTCGTCGCGTGCAACAGCAATGTCACGTTCGGTCCCGCTCTGGCTGCACTGGTAGTGAATTACCGCGGCTGCCGGAACGGATGGGTTCCGAGAGCGGGGGGGGGGGGGGGGGGGGGGCGTTGGTCCGCGGCTTGCCCGTGCGCTGGTCTGGAACCCTACGGCTGGAGAGCATTGTGCCCAGCACCTCGTCCCCAGGGGTGCTTCTGCCGCCATGCTGACTGAAGATGGCAGCCGTTGCCGCGTCAAGCAATGATGATCCTGTGGGGGCAGGCCGGTGTTGCTGATCATTTGCGGTCCCTTTCCCAGCTGTGTCAGTCCAATGGAAATTACAGCGTTGACCCTGTAATCGGCTGTCACTGACAACCGTTCGCATTCACTATCACCGTCAAATCAGGGCCATTACGTTGTTATTTCCACATGCGCTTCCTAAATATAGATCTGGCTTACACCAACCACCATTTACACCTTGTACCGAACTGCATCGCCTGGCGCCAGCGGCTGAGGTGGAACTTGAGTAAGGCCTCCCGCGAAACGTCCACGTGTCCACTCAAAACTTGCAGCGTCTCTCACGCGGCACCTCTCGGCGGCAGGGCGCAATGAGCTGATCGCGCGCTACATCAAGCTGCGCACGGGCAAGTGTCGCACGCGGAAACAGGTCAGCTCGCACATCCAGGTGCTGGCGCGACGGAAGCTGCGCGAGCTGCAGACCAAGATGAAGGTGAGCCGACGCACAGCCGGGGAGGGCGAGGGGTGAGGGCAGCGCCGCGCCGCGCGCGGCGGCCGGGCGGTCGGGCTGGAGTTCAATTGTTGGGCTTCAAGAGGAGGGTGCGCTCCGGCACCACTCCACCAGGCACAGGTTCTGCGTGGCGATGCCGCGCCCCTCCCAGGCAGGCGCCGGCGCCGGCGGTCGGCCCAGCAGCGACATGTCGACATGATTTGTACGGACATATATATATATATATATATATATATATATATATATATATATACATAATATGACAACTAAGGTTCCACTGTGTAAAGTTCACACTGAAGGCTCTGACCACTCTGTCCTCTAGCCGTAAGGTCGCCCATTATGTGTGCGCAGCGTGTGCACTTTGTGTTGCAAAGGGCATGGATGTCCTCTTTTCCCATGGAACCGCCGAGGAGCCTTCGCCTGCCGTTCTGTTGACCTATTCACTCGTCAGCTGCGCGTGTGGCGGCGCGGTGCCGCGGTGCTGCCCCGCGTCCCATGTGCTCGCCTGACGCGCCCGTCTCGCTCCCCAGCAAAACTCGTCGCCGCTGATGTCACTGCAGGAGCACCACGCCAAGGAGAAGGCGCTGCACTCGGTGGCGGCCATGACGTCGGCGCAGATCGTGTCCGCCTCCAACATGCAGCACAAGAGCCTGTCCAGCTTCGGCCTGCCGGCCTCCAACTACGCCGGTCCGGGCGGCGTCGGCGGCTTCTGGCAGGCGGGCCTGCAGGTCGGCATGTCGCAGGAGTGAGTGCCGCTGGGGAGAGGGAGCGGGGGTGGGGAGCGCTCCGGCGCCGGCGCGGCCGGTGACGCGGCGGGCCGCCGCTGCCAGCGGGGCGCTCGTGCTCGGCGGCCGGCCTCTGAGAAGCGGCTGGCGGTGCCGCAGAGGAGGCCGGCCGCACAGGAGCGCTTCGGTGAAGTCGCCGGGCGTCACGGACGGGCGGAAGTGGACTGAGCTGCGCGAGAGATTCGGTGAAACGGGACGGCCGCGGCCGCTGCCGCTGTCCGTCTCGTCCCATTGAAGTGGACGGGCCCCTCAGACCGGCGGCCCGGCGCGCCGCTCCCGTCCGTGGCCACATGCTCAGCTGGCTGGAATCACGCGAAATCGGGGCCGAGCGGCGGGGAGGGGTCGGCTTATTTTCCCGATCGCCGCGGCGTTGGCTTTGGCCCGCTGAATTGCGCCGTTCTTAGAAGGGCTTGGGCTTTATCCGACCGGTCGGGGGCCTTGATATCGATCAGCCTGCATGAGGGCAGCCAGCATACCTGGCTCATGCCGACCTGCCCTCACGCCATGCCCAGACCGCGGCGTGCCTGTCTCATACCGCGCCGTCCGCGTCACGCCACGCCCGGCGTGACCGGCACTCGTCTCACGCCACGCTGTGCCGCTCCCGCAGCGTGAAGCCGTTCGGCCAGCACCCGTACGGCATGCCGGCCAAGCCGGCGGCCAGCGCGGCCGACATGTCGCTGCTGGGCCAGCCGCCGGCGCCGGCGCCTGCCTGGGAGGGGCGCAGCATCGCCACGCAGAAGCTGCGCCTGGTGGAGTACTCGGCCTTCATGGAGGTGGCGCCGCAGACGCGGGAGCACCAGGCCGCCGCCGACGTGGTGAGTGGCCGTCTGTGTGGTGACCGGCCGGCGCCGCCGTCGCCGCCAGGCGTGAGTGCTGACCTGGCTATGAGCGGCACCAGTCGGCTCGCCGGCCGCTGCCCAGCGCCCCGGCGTGGGTGTGGCGGCCCGTTGGAAACCCGCGATGTCTTGTGACGTTACTGGATATGTCGGTTTTCCGGGAAGGGGGGGGGGGGACCGTCGGCTTGGCTTCCATCATCGAGGTGTCTCTCCATGCTGGCTTGGCCGTGCCTTCCCCTTCGTCTGCATGCTGGCCATGCTGACCTGTCCCGTCCTGGATTTTGTATGCATCCATCTGCAGAAGATTTTCGGGCAGTTGTCCTCGTCAGCGTTTTTTCCTCGCGCGCGGACGCTTCGACCACCTCTTCGGATCAAAATTGTCTGATATTCATATGCGTTGAACCCACAATATCGCCGCTGGTAGCCCTGAATTCCAACCACTTACCCACCGAGGAGGATCGACGAGGACAACAGACCGCGGTATGACGCCACCAGTACGGTCAAACGTCTGAGACGCTTCGGTAGGCTCACTTGCTCCTCGCCTATTCGTCTATACTTCCAAGCTGCTCCAGGCTGTCATACCCATACCCCTGTAGTGTGCGTGCCGACCTGCCCCCACCGCCGTCAGCGCACCCCAGCCCGGTTCGGCCCGAGGCGCGGGGGCGGGTCGCGCGCGGCCGGCAGGTTGCGTCAGCTGGGAGCGCGTGGCGCCGGCGTGTCATGGTGTCGCGGCGGCGGCGGCCCGGGCCCCGGCGCCGCCGTCGATAACTCAGCGAGCGCGTCCAGCGACCTCGCCGCCCTCGGCCGCCGGCCGGCCGGCAAGGCCGTGTTTATGTCCGGCGTGTGTGTGTGTTTTATCGGCGCTGCAGCGGCCGGCGCTGTGCCGCCGCGCCGGTCATTCATGGCGCCGCGGCGCCGGCCCGGCCCGCCTGGCGGCCGCCGGTGACGCCGGGGTCGCCGACGGATCGCCGGGGTCGGGACACCCCGGCCGCCGGGGAGGGGCTGCAGTGGTCGCGCCGAGGGCCCTGTGGGGTCTGGTCCCGGGTCGTGTTTTGAAACTGACGCTCCTTCAGTAAACAGCTTGATGGCGGTGACGCGGACGGAGCTCTGGTGTGTTGACAACCTCGGTCCATTTGCCAGTAAACACTGGCAAACCGTGCAAACGGAGGGCGTAACGCAAGGTGCCCGGCGCGTCATGAGGCCCGGCCGAGCAGGTTGCTTTGTTCGTCGTGGCAACACCATGTGGAGACGTTCCGTGTCTCTGTGCGAGGAGTCCCGTGCCCCTGTCCACCGCACGCACTAGCAGTGTGACGCTTGTCGCTGCTGTGTGCGGCGACGCCAAGCGTCCCTCTCGCAGCGCTGCACCCGTCGCTCGCGCACACGTGACGGCGCATCCCTGGTAATGTGCGTGCGCCTCTGCTCGCCAGTACAACAAGCATCTGTTCGTGCACATCGGCGGCCCGGGCTCGTACGATCCGCTGGAGGCCATAGGCATCACGCAGATCTACGATAAGTTCCCCGACAAGAAGGGCGGCCTGCGCGAGCTCTACGACAAGGGTCCGGCCAACGCCTTCTTCCTGGTCAAGTTCTGGGCTGACCTCAACACCAGTGTGCAGGTCAGGAGTGGGCGGGCGCGGCGAGGTGTCGCTCGCAGGGTCGAACGTAAGCAAACGTGTCATTCGATTACAGCGCAATGTGCTGCCTGGCAACAGAAGCTGAAGACTAGTGTGCTTTGAAACGGACGGTTGGGTTTGGGATCCATTTTGGTGGTGCATGTGGGTAACAACTAGATGGAGACATCCACCGTGATGAGCGCCGCGAGGGAATATAGCCCACGCTGTGAACTTCAGCGCTGTGAACTTAACCGCAGCGCCGAGGAGTTTGTTTTCCCTCACAACACCTCCAGGCGGCACGTAGGTTTATCCTTGCTGTCCGCTGACGTCAGCGAGATGAACCCACGGCTGGCTGCGCTTTAATCCGGCTGATCTCTGCGCTGGGGATGGCCGGTGCTGTGGTCTATGTGATGGGCATCGCTGGACGTCTCAGGCGGCCCACTGCGGCGCCGAACTGGGCTTTGGGTCTGGCTGTCCGGACTGGTCTGGGCCTGGGTTGTTGGCCGGCGGTCCAGCGTGTGAGCCCGGTCGCCGCGACTGGTCCGTTCAGTGGGAGCTGCTCGGTCCGGTCTGAGGCCGCCGTACAGACTGGTCTGTGGCTGAGCCTTCGCCCGGCCCGCGCGCTCCGCTGCCGCCGAACCGGCCAGGCCGGGCCCAAGGCCGGTCCGCTGCCGCCCGCGGCGCCGGCGGCGCCCTCACAGCGGTCCCGACCGCGGCCAGGCCGGTCACGTGCTCTGCTGCGGGCTGCGGCCAGAGTCGCGTCTCTGGACACCCCGCGCCGCCGTATCGGGCCGCCGGTCGGCGGAGAGGCCGTCTGGCAGATGACCCCCGTGGCCGAGCGAGGGGAAGGGCTTTGGCAGTGTGCGGGCGGCGCGCCCCGGCCGCGTATGGGGCCAGGACCAGGACCCGGCGTGCGGCGCGGTCTGAGGTGTGCTCGTGTGGTCGGCAGGACGCCAGCGGCGCCTTCTACGGTGTCACCAGCCAGTACGAGTCGCCCGAGAACATGACCATCACCTGCTCCACCAAGGTCTGCTCCTTCGGCAAGCAGGTGGTGGAGAAGGTGGAGACCGAGTACGCCAGGTGAGCGGATGGTGGGCGAGCCGGCCCTGGCGTGGAACGTGTGTTCGGCTGCTCCTTCATTGTGTGCCCAGTCTTTCTGGTGTTTGTATGGGTTCTGTTCGTGCCTCTGGCTTCATACTTGCTCGCTACTGTTTCGACGTCGTGAGGGCTGACGCAGGCGATTTTGTGAAATCCACCCAATGTGTGCTATTAATTAGCGTTTAACGCCGCGTATATTTTGAGATAGTGCTGGGACTTGACGTTGATTCCGGCGGCAGGTTCGAGAACGGTCGCTTCTTCTACCGCATCAACCGGTCGCCCATGTGCGAGTACATGGTCAACTTCATTCACAAGCTCAAGCACCTGCCCGAGAAGTACATGATGAACAGCGTGCTGGAGAACTTCACCATTCTGCAGGTGAGCTGCGCGGCTCGCTCGGGCCGGCCGGAGCGGGGCAGGGGCTGCTGATGTCAAGCATCGGGCATATCTCGATGGTGACTCACGGCCCCGTCCGGACCGGAGCGGGAAGACAACCTTGGAGGATTGCCAACCTATTGAAATCGCTGTCCACGTTTTGTCGGTGTCCTGTGAACCGAACCAGCCGTACTTGATGTCGCGTTCGGACTCGCAAAGTAGGCGCGGGTGGTAGTGGCTGTCGTTCATTGAGCGGATGGTGGTCGCTTGAAATGAGCATCCAGTCGAACCCGTTGTCCCATGGTGTTTATGGCTGCTATCGTCGAGCAAAATGTGGCAAAGCTCCGTTGCTGGCCCTCAGCCGGCTGTTATTGAAGTGTCAGTTCGAGAACCACACGACAGATGGTGCGGTATGATTTGCGGCCAATGTAAGTAAGGTCTTGAGCCGTCGCTGGCCAGGTCTGAACAACCCAGGGGACTGTTGGCGCGTCATACCGAAACCGCGAACTTGCTACAGTGTGTCGGCGCTGTCCTCCCGTGTCAGTGATGCGCAGATTTATCGGTGTGTTTGGTCCAGCTGTCCCCCCGATTGCTCTGCCGACGTCAGCAGCCAACGGCCGGTGTAACTCGCGCCCTCGCCGCCAGGTGGTGACGAATCGCGACACCCAGGAGACGCTGCTCTGCATCGCGTTCGTGTTCGAGGTGTCCACCTCCGAGCACGGCGCCCAGCACCACATATACCGCCTGGTGAAGGACTGATCAGCCACCGCATCCGCCATCGTCCATCGCCTGGGCACGAGCGGCGCCCAGCGCAGCATCTGTCCTCGCCTGTGATCCGGTCCGGCTCGCGCCCCGGCCCGGCCCGGTCCGCTGGAGCCGCGCGAGGCCGCCGGCGCCGGCGACGCCGCGGCGCGCGGCGCGCGGCCTGTACATAGGAGCCGTGATCTCCGGCCCGCCCGCCGCCCACCTGTACATAGCCCCAGTGCCTTGGCGGCGGCGGCCGCGGCGCCGCGCGGCCTCCGTCTTTCAGTGCAGTCGGCCGGTCGGCTGGTGCCAACGGGCGCCCGGGCCGCGCGGGCCTGTCCGCGCCGAGCGCCGCGCTGGCGCGCCTGCTGTCCCGGCCGTGACGGCTCCGCTGCGGACAGCTCAGCTCGGGCCGCCCACCGGGAGTGGCGCGCGGCACGCCGGGGCTCTGCGTTGCGTCGCACCCTTGCTGTCTGATTCGTGTGGTGGCTCGTTTTTAGAAGCGCGTCCGTAGTGGTTGATGATTACTGCAATATTTTTGCCGGCATTTTGCGATTGGCGCTTTGAGCGAGGCGGGGCTTGCGCCCGTTAAGTTGCTATACGACATTATTTTATTTGTTTAAGGTCGGCATTAGATACTGATTTCGTTTGCGCCGCTGGATGTGACGGGAGCCTGTTGGTGTTGGCGGCCGGCCACGGGTCGGCTGTGGCCGGAGGACTGTTGGCCGGCGCCTGTCGAAGCCTGCCCCGCGCCGCTGGGGCCGGGCCGAGCCGCTGGGAGTCCCGCCGTGCGATCTCACTGGGGGGCCGCCGGCCTCCGCCGAGTGCGGGCACGTGGCGGCGAGTGGGGAGGGGGCAGGGCGGCATCGTTGATCTCAGTTGCCCGCTGCGGCCCGGAGGCGGGGCGGGGGCGGCGGTGACATGACCTCGGGTGGCGGGCGGACGGGCCGCTGACCAGGCGGCGCCACCGGTTCGCCCAGAGCCTGACAAACGTGTTGTTATTGTGTGTGCCCCGCCAGACGTGATTGTGGTTCTGTAAGGTAGCTATTCGGTAGGCCGTGCCCTTTTTGTACAGATGTGCGTCCAGAGAGTAAATTATATTGAAACCCACTGGCGTGGCTTTTGGCGGCGTAGGGCGGCGTGCGCCCGCGTACGGAGGGCAGCGGGAAAATCTGCGGCAGTGCTGGGCTTTATTTCACTCAAGCAGAATCAATTTCAATCGCACTCAGCGCGTTGAAGGGACTTCAGGGTCGGTGCGAATGAGGCCCATACCGGGAGCAAGCGTTCTGAATATGAGTGCGTCTGGCGCAGACATGGGCTTGCATATGACACTGGATTACACTAGCACGCATCAGTGACGGAGTTGGAAACACCGTCGCTCAGGCTCCTAATACTGCGCTTGGGTCCGATTAATTTCCGGTAGCTCTGCCCTGTCACAGTAACACGTAGGCGCCCATGAGGCGAGGCCGGGACAACCGAGAAAAAGCTTGAAAGGTACTGGCAATGCTTGCCACCCAAGACGACTATACTGGTTTGGATGGAAAATGCCCGATTTCCGTAAATTTAAATATGTTGTGATATCTTAAAGATTACATGGTACACTTAGAAGAAAATGAACCGCCTAATTTCAGCGGTCCCCGTAAAACAAGGAATAAGCTAGTGCTGTCGCTTGCCGTGTTTACCCATAGCAACACTCAAGAAAAGTTGATGATATGCTATTATATGTGTCTAACAAGAAATACTCGGCAGCATAATGTTCAGCTGATCAACGCCTCGCAGCAGTCTGGCAGGCACCCCGCCGGTGTCCGGATCCAGCCCGCCGGTGTCCGGATCCAGCCAGGCGGGGCGCTCGTGACGGCGTTTGTGTCCAGGCTGGTGGCGATGCTTTTGGTAATTGCGCAACCGTAAATGGTATTGGGAGTAATATCAGCAGAATCCCTACCAGTATTCACGCTGGTGATGCGCGGTCTGAAAAGATGCCATTGCATGAACAATATTTTGATGCATCAATTGTGCCGACACCACTTCTCACGCATCCCTGCCAGCTTGACCTTCGTGCCATGGTATGTCATTATCAGACCCATCTCTGGTCATGCAAGCAGACGTCTCGTTAAACACAACTAGCCTTCTTATCAAGAAAGAATTTCTTGCAGCCATTTTAGGCGCCAATATCTAAGGTAGTTGACGCACCCTTAAAACCACAGCCATTGCAGGCAACAGCATCGTATTCTGCATGCCTGCAGCATACGTCATCTGGTCAGGTCCTGGACTACTGGCAGCCTCCCATTATACACCTCTAGCCTCCCTTGCATTGACCAAGCGCTCCGCGTCGGAAACACACAGATTGTGACGCACCTCCCCCCGGAGAACAATCGTCGGAGCTGGGGACAGCCACCCTTCTTATGGAGGGCGGACGGTGGAGCCTGAGACGGTACGTCCTCCTCCCGGAGTACAAACGTCGGAGCTGTGGGTGGCCACTCTTCTCCTGGAGTGCGGACGGTGGAGCCTGAGACGGTACGTCCTCCTCCCGGAGTGCAGACGGCAGAGCTGGGGACAGCCACCCTCCTCCTGGAGTACGGACGGTGGAGCCTGAGACGGTACGTCCTCCTCCCGGAGCGCAGACAGCGGAGCTGGGGACAGCCACTCTTCTTGAGTACGGACGGTGGAGCCTGAGACGGTACGTCCTCCTCCCGGAGTACAAACGTCGGAGCTGGGGGTAGCCACCCTTCTCCTAGAGTACGGACGGTGGAGCCTGAGACGGCACGTCCTTCTCCCGGAGCGCGGACGGCGGAACTGGGGACAGCCACTCTTCTCCAGGAGTACGGACGGTGGAGACTGATACGTCTGTAGTACAGACGGCGGAACCTGTGGCGGTCCTCTCTTCTTCTGGAATGCATACGGTGGAGCCTGGGACGGCTTATTCCAGCGATCTGCTCTTTTGTGCCTTTTTATTTGGTGCTTTAGCACTCGGCCTCCGTTTCTCCACAAATGCGATTCACATATGGACAATGAACTAGCCCCCACCCCCCACCCCCCTCCTCATGGACGGTAACCGCCATATGTTTGTGCGGATCCCTTCATGATGTAAACTTAGCAGGTCGTCTTCACGCTTCTTTCGTCGGGAAACTGGTAGAAGAAAAATATTTACTCTCGTTCAGGCGTATCTCCCACTCTCGGCTTTTTCTTCCTTCGTGTGCGCCGCGGGTGTCTGCAGCTGCAGCTTCTTCTACTAATGTTGCATTGTTGTTCCTGGTCTGCGTAGCAACTACTCTGGCAGCTGTGCTCTCCACAGTACGGGTGCTAGAGCGAGTCTCTAAGTTGGAAACGGTCACGAAGCATCGATAATCCCCTGGCACATAACACAGCTCTTCTTTTAACAAAAACAAAACCGTTCCAAATGTAACGGCATTACTTGTGTTGGCCGCCTCGTCCCCGGCCGCGCGGTGCGTCCGGTCGGCTCGCCGGTCGGAGGTCGCGGTGCCCGGCGCGCTGTGACCCGGGCGGTGATTGGTCCGCGGTATGTCGGCCGCCAGGCGGGCGATCTGTGGCCGGTCCCCCGTGCACCGGGAGAGTTAAGGACCGATATCAGCCCGGTGTGGGCGTGGAGGTGGGCAGTTACAGCTGGTGATGCAGGCCACAAAGTTGCCCACGTTTATCTAGCTGACACAAATATTAAGGTCTTGGCAGCCTCATTCGCCAAATCGCTTCCACTAAGACTGCATCACCATAGAAGACATCCCTGATGCTATAGCCTTGCCCTAGCAACAGACGTGCTGAAGCTAATTATTCCGTGGTCTGATTGCGATCCAGGATACCATTCTATGCTGTGTCGTGTCTTGGGCAACTGTAAGCGATCATTTGGGTATCCAGAGATCCGCCCAAACCCTGTTACTTCTAATGATACAGAACTTCTGTTTTCATTACATCTGTTTTTCAACCGGATGTATGATTTATTCGGCCCTCGATGTTGGCCGCTAACGTTGCCTGGATCCTTACCTCCCACGCCTTGTTTCACTTAGCCTCTGCATTTGCCACGAACGGCAAACAATATCAGTGCCGCCTCGTTAAGAGTTGCTATTCACTTCCAGCATTGGTCTTTCATCGATAAATGGATCAAATTGACGGCAGGATCACACTATGAACCACGCAATCGGACCACTTCGATGGATCACATCGGCCGACAGACTGCCGGTAGCTCAGAGCCTCGCCCAGGGGTGATGCAGGCACGCCATCCAGTATCAATAGCAGACATTTACACACCGCGCTCTAGAAAGAGTCGCTATGATGAAAGGTTCTTTTGTATAAGCACGGGGCCAGTGATCGTAGACGAACCGCACGCAGGTCACCGGCTGACCAGAACAGACTGGCAAGAGCCGAACCGTCTCTTTTGTCATGCCGATGATGGTGCGGCAAAGACTGTGCCGAAAAATGGTGTAAATATGACACTCATGAAATTTGATATGACGCTTCAACAAATAGCAGTTCTCCTGTAATGCTATCATGTCCCGCACGGGTTGTGACATTTTAGGCCTCTATGCGTTTCCAGAGCACGCGCCGAGCACCATGCGATTCTGAAAATGATGCCCTGGATAAGACGTCTGGAAATCCCATAATCATGAGAATGATAAGTGAGGACGCTCCGACCTCATGAAATCAAAGCGAGCTGTCATCTCGCCCTTGTCTCTCTGTAAATCGATCTCATTGCGTGCTCAGCTAGTTACTTTTTACAAGTTATCGGCCGATTTTATACTTGTAAGCATCAGAATACTTTTCTGATTTGCTAATTAAATCGCGGCTTCACGAATGATCTCGAGGTGAATTTCATCCGACGTAACATTCATATCTGCGGCTGGTACTCTCACGTACATTTCCAGTTGATGGCTAATGATTGATAGATGATATAAGATAAGCTACTTGACCTTGAAATTGAAGTATCGGTGGTGTGATAAGCAATCCTGTATTACATATCTATCGCTATAATTCAGACTACCTTATCATTGTCGTGATCGATAAAGTGATCACGAATGAACGTGAACATCGGAATCGCGGAGCTTGTGAAGAAAATAAAACTTAACAAGTGGCAACTAGGAAGTCCGCGAGAACAGACAACAGCGACCCGCATATTTGGTATCGGTCACCTACCCACCCCTGGTGTAACGACGG